AAAAAATATCCAACTCTCAGTTAGCACCCCAACACATTGATAATGATCTCAGCCACCGCGGCGAGAATGAGAACATTGCACCAGGAAACGTTGTATCCCCTGCTGGCCTCGATGGAGCTCCGGCTGTAGATCCAATCGACGTCAGTTCGCATGTAGCCATCAATGGAAATTTGGTCGCCGATCCCGAAAGCGGCGTTCGTGGGGGTACTCGATCAGCTACTTAGAATGCACATGGCGGTGAAGATGGCGGGATCAGCCTGCGGGTAATCTTCAAAATGTTGCAAGCCAACAGGTAGAAATAGCTCAGCTCCAAAATCATAACCACATGCCAAGCAGGGTCGAACTCGAGCCATCCCAAGAAATTGTACATAGAGTTGAATTGGCTTCGAGAAAATCAAATGAGAAGGAATCGGAGACCAATCCTACTATTGTAAAGATGCTCGAAGAACTGACAAAGCGAATCGAGACACGGGAAAATTAGATCGAGGGAAATGATAAGAAGGTGGAAACCTATTAGTCCAGGGTCGACCAAATCCCAGGGGAACCGCCGATATTAAAAGGACTAGATTCCAAAAAGTTTGTACAAAAACCTTTCACCCCAAGTGCGGATCCAAAGGCAATCCCCAAGAAGTTCTGTATGCCTGAGATTCCTACGTATAATGGGATGACTGATCCAAACGAGCACGTCACCTCATAAACGTGCGTCATCAAAGGAAATGACTTGGAAGATGACGAGATTGAATCCGTATTGCCAAAAAAGTTCGGGGAGACTCTATCGAAGGGTACTATGATATGGTATCATAATTTACCACCTAATTCTATTGACTTGTTTGCTATGCTTGTAGATTCTTTTGTAAAGGCACACGCCGGAGCCATTAAGGTCGCAACAAGAAAGTCGGACCTCTTCAAGGTAAGGCAGAAGGACAATGAGATGCTCAGAGAATTCGTATCTCGATTCCAAATGGAACGAATGGATTTGCCACCGGTCGCTGACGATTGGGCAGTTCAAGCTTTCACTCAAGGCCTCAACGTTCGGAGTTCCACAGCTTCACAATAGTTGAAGCAGAATTTGATCGAATTTCCAACTGTCACTTGGGCCGATGTACATAATCGGTATCAGTCGAAGATCTGAGTCGAGGATGATCAACTGGGAGCTCCTTATGGGTCCGTTTATCCTAACAGGCCCGTGGATAGAATCAAGAGGGACATCGATCAAGAACCAAGGTCGAATAGAGATCGATATCAACCATATAATGAAGACCGCAGAGGCAGCTGATCTGGGCGAAACCTTGTACGGAATGAGAGGAGGAATGATCGAGGTCAAAGTTCACAGGGACTCATGAGCAAGAGTGGTTTCGACAGGGATGACGGGCCAAAAGAAGCACCGCGATTTCCAGAATATAACTTCAACATAGATGCACCCGCCATCGTATCAGCAGTCGGACGTATCAAAGATACTAGATGGCCTCGTCCTCTGCAGACCGATCCAGCCTAGAGAAATCCTAATCAAGTGTGCAAGTATCATGGTACCCATGGCCATAAAATAGAAGATTGCAGATAACTAATAGAGGAAGTAGCCCGTTTGTTCAACGAGGGACACCTTCGGGAATTCTTAAGCGATCGGGCCAAGACTCACTTCAAAAACAAAGATTCCAGCAGATAGAATGAGCAAGAAGAGAAGAGACACTGCACGTGATTCACATGATCATGGTAGGGGTCGATATTCCTCAAGGACCATTACTAAAATGCACCAAGGTGTCGACACAAGGGAGAAGCGAACTCGGAATTACGTACCAGAAGGAACCTTGTCTTTCAATGACGAGGATGCAGAAGGGATCGTACAACCCCACAATGACGCACTTTTAATATCTGTAATTATGAATAAGACACAAGTTAAACGTGTTGTAATTGATCCAGGTAGCTCGGTCAACATTATTTGATCGAGGGTCGTAGAATAGCTCGGCCTACATGATCAGGTTGTGTCCCCGGCCCGAGTACTAAATGGGTTCAATATGGCATGTGAAACCACCAAAGGCGAGATAACTTTGCCAGTAAATGTGGCTGGGACCATCCAAGAAACAAAGTTTCATGTGATCGAGGGCGATATGAGGTATAATGCCCTATTCGGGAAATCGTGGATCCATAACATGAGGGCAATACCCTCGACCCTTCACCAGGTTCTAAAGTTCCCAAGCTAGAGGGAGTTAAAACGGTCTACGGGGAACAACTCGCCGCCAAGGAAATGTTTGCAATCGATGAAGTGATACCAATATCGGCAATTTCGTCAATTAAAGGGTCAGATTCAAAGGAAAAATATGAGGCTAAATAGCAACCACAGAAACCGGCCTCGACCCAATCGGGGAAGCAGGGGATTGACGAGGATGATGAATATGGGGTCCTTCGATCTTTCATAGTCCTCGATGGCTCCGATGCCACCAAGTCGACGGTCGAAGAGCTGGAGCATATCACATTAGCCGAACATCAGCCCGAACGAAAGGTATACCTGGGCACGGGGCTGGCACCCCAGCTCAGGGGAAAACTTATTCAATTCCTTAAAACTAACATGAATTGCTTTGCTTGGTCCCATCTCGATATGAAAGGGATTCCACCAGAAATCACCACGCATAAACTAAGCCTGGATCCGAAGTTCCATCCGGTGAAGCAAAAAATAAGACCCCAGTTCGAGGTCAAACATGCTTTCATCAAAGACGAGGTAACCAAACTTCTTAAAATAGGATCCATTCAGGAAGTAAAATATCCTGAATGGTTACCGAATGTAGTAATAGTCCCCAAGAAGGGGAATAAACTTAGAATATGTGTAGATTATAAAGACCTAAATAAAGTATGCCCCAAGGATTCTTTTCCTTTGCCTAATATCGGTCGCATGATCGATGCCACGACTGGCCACGAGATCCTTAGTTTTCTCAATGCCTACTCCAAGTACAACCAAATATAGATGAACCCGGAAGACCAGGAAAAGACCTCGTTTGTCACTAAGTACGGCACCTACTGATATAATGTAATGCCATTCGGACTAAAAAATGCTGGAAAAACTTATCAACGCCTAGTAAATCGGATGTTCGAAGAACAAATAGCAAAATCAATGGAGGTTTATATTGATGATATGTTAGTTAAGTCCCTGCGAGCAGAGGACCATTTGAAGCATTTGTAGGAAACTTTCGCTATATTGAAAAGATACAACATGAAGCTCAACCCAGTAAAATATGCATTCGGGGTTGGCTCAGGCAAGTTTCTCGGCTTCATGGTATCCAGTCGAGGAATCAAGATCAACCCCGATAAAATCAAAGCTATTAAGGACATCAAGGTAGTGGACAACGTAAAAGTCGTGCAAAGGTTAACGGGGCACATAGCTGCCCTGGGATGATTCATCTCGAGATCCTCTGATAAGAGTCATCGATTCTTCTTGTTACTGAAGAAGAAGAATAACCTCACCTGGACTCCGGAATGCCAACAGGCCTTGGAGAAACGAAAAGGTACTTATCGAGCCCGCTGCTGCTTCACATGCCAAAGGCGGACGAGCAGCTTTACTTGTATTTAGCAGTATCATAGATATCGGTAAGTGGAGTCTTGGTCGGAGAAGAACAAGGTACGCAATTCCCTATGTATTATGTTAGTCGAACCTTAGGTGAGGCCGAAACCCGGTATCCCCATCTTGAAAAATTAGCGCTCGCTTTGATAAGCACCTCTAGGAAACTAAAACCATACTTTCAATGTCATCCCATATGTGTTGTAACGACTTATCCACTTCGAAATATTTTGCATAAGCCCGAACTTTCAGGCCGATTGGCCAAATGGGCCGTAAGAATCAGCGGATACGATATTGAATATCGTCCCCGAACAGCCATCAAGTTTCAAATCTTGGCAGACTTCGTGGATGACTTCACACCGGCCCTCATACCCGAGGTTGAAAGAGAATTGTTTGTAAAATCGGGTGCATCCTCGGGAATCTGGACCCTCTTTATGGATGGAGCTTCGAACGTAAAAGGGTCAGGACTCGGCATCGTACTAAAACAACCCACAGGTAACGTAGTTAGACAGTCTATCAGAACTGCAAAATTGACTAACAATGAGGCCGAATATGATGCCATGATTGCATGTCTCGAATTAGCCAAAGGCTTAGGAGCAAAGGTCATCGAGGCCAAGTGTGCCTCTTCATGGTGAACCAGGTTAACGGGACCTTTGAAGTCCGAGAAGACCGAATGTAGAGAAACTTGGATAAGCTACAGGTAACTCTACACTGATTCAAGGAATGGACTTTGCAACATGTACCTCGGGATCAGAATAGTGAGGCCGATGCCCTCGCAAACCTAGGATCATCGGTCGAAGACAACGAACTCAATTCAGGGGCTGTCGTACAACTCATAAGATTTGTGGTCGAAGAAGGTCATGCCGAGATAAACTTCACAAGTTTGACCTGGGATTGGAGAAATAAATACATAGAGTATTTAAAGAACGGTAAGCTCCCATCAGATCCAAAAGAGTCGAGAGCTCTGTGCACAAAAGCAGTACGATTCACCTTGTCCAAAGACGGAACGTTGTTCAGAAGAATGTTCGATGGTCCATTAGCGATATGTCTGGGACCGGGAGATACCAAATACGTTCTAAGGGAGGTCCACGAAGGCACTTCATAAATCATTCCGGTGCCGAATCATTGGTCCAAAGTGATCAGAGCCGGATACTACTGGATCGACATGGAGAAGGATGCAAAAGGAATTTGTCCAAAATGCGACAAATGCCAAAGTCACGTGCCAATGATTCATCAACCCAGGGAACTGCTCAACTCGGTCTTGTCCCCATGGTCGTTCAAGAAGTGGGGAATAGATATCGTTGGCCCTCTTCTATCGGCCCCAGGTAAGGCTCGGTTTATTTTATTTATGACTGATTATTTCTCTAAGTGGGTTGAAGCACAAGCCTTCGAGAAAGTCAGGGAAAAAGAAGTCATAGACTTTATTTGGGACCACATCATATGTCGATTCGGGATGCCCTCCGAGATTTTGTGCGGTAATGGAAAGCAGTTCATCGGCAGCAAGGGGACTAAATTTCTCGAGGATCACGAGATCAAAAGGATTCTATCAACACCTTATCATCCCAGCGGGAACAGACAAGCTGAATCGCCCAACAAAACTACCATCCAAAATCTTAAGAAGAGACTAACCTACGCCATAGGGAAATGGAAAGAAATCCTACCCGAGGTTTTTTGGGCATACCGCACAATGTTGAAGTCTAGTACTGGAGCCACCCCATTCTCATTAGTTTATGGCGCCGAAGCTCTAATATCGGTCGAGGTCGAAGAACCTAGCAATAGGTTCCAATATGCAATGGCAGAGTCAAATAACAAGGCCATGAACACGAGCCTAGAATTGTTGGATGAAAAACGTGAAGTCGCCCTCGTCCGATTGGCTGCTCAGAAACAACAGATCGAAAGGTATTACGATCGAAGGGCCAAATGAAGGAAAATTGGGTCCGAACTGGGAAGGGTCGTACCAGATTCTCGAGATCACAGGGAAAAGATCCTATAAGCTTGGAACGATGGACGGAGAACAGCTATCGAACAATTGGAATGTAAATCATCTCAAACGGTATTACTGCTGAGGTACAACCGCATTTCAATTACTTCTATTTTTTTTACTAACACTTGCAGGTTATCGACAAGGAGCGCCACGAAGCCTTTAGGTCTGAAAGCACGCGTTGCACTCTTTTTTCCTTGAACTGTTTTTGTCCTAATTGGATTTTTCAGCAAGTTTTTTAACGAGGCAGCAGTGGATTGTGCTAACTTAGAATTGAAGGCCGATCACAAATCGGTATCAAAGACTATATTTATAGTATCCGAGATTCCTTTATAATCAACCTCGAATACTGGGGAGATTACCCTCGGATATTGAATTGTTTTAGCAAGGAAATTATCTCAAAATGAAAGGGTCTCAATAGGTAGGATTTATTGTAAGGTCCAAATGGTCAAAACGAACTGTGCCTGCATAGATTGCTCGAGCCCTGACATAAAACATGTATGCATGTGTGACTATTTTTGACAAGAATAAAGAGAAGTACTTTCCTTGCAACTATCTAATGTCATGGAAAAATTTCCACTTTACAACCCCATACTTTCGATCTATTATGGAAACAAGCCCAAGGGCCGATTATAACCAGAGTTCGGATAATCACTCCCACACTTGGGGATTGCCGTCCGTAAAATAAACTCGAACAGATCGAACTATTGAACGTCGAGGGCATAAGACCTCTTAGGCAACCCTCAGATTTTAAATGCCACGGCCATACCCACTCGGGGACTATTATCTTAGGCAAGCCTGGACCTGGATAACTCGAGAAAGCGAGATTACTGGGATACACCCAAACTAAAAGGCTACGGCCAATCTTACACGGTTCGGAGATGTCCGAAATCCGTAACAAAAATAGGCCTTCCGAAAAAAATCTTTCATAACCGGTTCTAAAGGCTACTCTCGGCAGAATCTTAAACTTAAGACATTTTCGGAAAAAAACTTCGGTAACACCGAACCCTGATAATGCCTTAACTCGGAAGGGCAATAAATGCATGGTCTGTTCGAACCCTCGAACACGACCTTATTATTTTGTGCCAAGGCATTCCAACCTTTGTGAATACAAACAATAAAACATAGGAAAATTTTTAGAGCCGAAAAAAGGTAGAAAGCCTTATATATATACATAAACGATCTTTTTACAAAGGCCAGATCGGCCAAATACAAAATACAAAGGCCTAAGGGCTACTTTTACTTCGAGTTCGAGAGATCATTCTCACTCGACTAGAAAGCCTAAGGGTTACCTTATTTCGAGCTCGAGCAAGTCCTCACTCGACCGTAAATCCTAAAGGCTACCTTAAATCAAGTTCAAGCAAATCCGCCTCGATTCAAGATCAAATTACTACCCCGAATCTCGGACCTTCGAACATAACATCATAATTTTATAACAACATCATAGTTATATGACAACATCATAATTTTATGCTACGGCGTTCTGACCTTTATATAAATTAAAAAGACAGAAGACTCAGAAGACATGGAAGGGAAAAAGTTTTATATTCATCAAAAACTTTTTACAAAGGCAACACGGCCCAATAGAAATTCTTTACAAATGCCGAAGGGGCCTCAACAGAAATTCAAAAACTATTTTTAAAGACTAAGCGGTCTGGTCATCTCCGGGAGAGGCATCTCCGCCCTCGGGGTCTTCTCCACTTTCGGATTCACTCAAGCTTCTAGATCCGTCATCATCATCGGGGTAAGCTAATTTCTTGGCTTCAGCTTCGAGATCCTTAGCATTCTCGATCTCGGTTGTGAGGTCAAAGCCCCGAGAATGGATTTCCTCAAAGGTCTCCCTTCGAGATTGACATTTGGCATGCTCGGCGACCCCCTCTGCTCGAACCTGAGCGTCCTCGGCAACCGTCTTTGCTCGAATCTAAGCAGCTTCGACATCGCCCCGGTAAATGGTCACCACTGCATCAGCATCAGCTTGGCTTCCTTAACTTCAGATTTAGCCGCTTCAAGCTCCGCGACCAGGTTCTCCCGAGCAGAAATTGTTGAACCCAACTGGGACTGAAGCTCCTCGATTTTCTTGGCCTGCACCAAGATTTCCTTTTTCGTACCTCGTAGCTGGTTTTCAGCTGAGGCCAGTTGGGCCCGAGCAGTCTCCTTTTCTGAGGCCAGGCAGTCCATTTTCTTCTTCCATCCTTCGGCCTCAGTTTTTAGTGAATCTGCTTCTTCACGGAGTTGCTTGATCACGTCAAGCTTTTGTTGGACCTGCGGGTTTAAACCATTAGATACCACGCCCGAATCGCCGTCACTAACTTCAAATATTCTTCTTACCTGCTCGACTAGTTCGGCGTGATCTTGCTGAGCCATTTCTAGCTCAACACGGAGGCCTTTAGCTTCCCCTTCTCTTTGCTCACTGAGAAGCTTGAAGGCATCCTTTTCCTCGGTAAGCCCTCGAATCTCGGCCTCATACCGGTTCAGTTTCCCTCAGAATCGGAGGAAAACCTCATGATGAAGCACCGAAGCCTACAAACATAGAAAAGGAAGTTATATAAAGGGAGAAAAGTTTAAGTACGAAAATTGACATCAACAGGAAAATCTAGGATTACCCGGTTTAGAGCTTATTGGGCTTCGTTGAAAAGACAAGGTGTTTCCACCTCATCCATCTTGGCTTGGTCTTCTTCGGTGACCAAGCATCGGAGATAGCTAGCCACCCCTACGGGGGAGAAATCACCCGAGCATCCTCTGGGACCGAGATGATAATTGATCGATCACGCCCGGGATCGACGTTGGGGGTCGGGAACTGATCAGTCAGTTTAAAGCTCGGGGAGGCTTCATTCGAGCTCTTCCTCGGTACTTCCAAGTCGCCCAGACCGGTGACATCTTCCATTCCAACAAAGTAACCACGGAAAAGGTCTTCTTCTCCATAGACCCCTTCACCGTGGCAAGTCTTCATCTCCTGAGCATCCTTGATCACCGAATCAGAGAACGAAGGAAATGAAGGGGAATCTCCAATTTCTATCGCCCCAAGTAAATCTTTTAGGGCGTCGCCCTCATCTCGGGGGGCCTCGTACATGGTTTCTACATCAGCATCCACCGCCTCCTCGATAGCCTTCTCACCTCGAGGGGAAGCGATTTCAGCCCTTTCTGGCTCGGGGACTTCGGCCAACGGGTTCATCAAGTCGAGGCAGAGCAATCTCAGCTCCCACCGGCTCGGGGATTTTTCGAGCATCAGGGCCAAACCGCACTCGGGCCACCAGCCCGGTTTCTTCTTCGTCTTCCTCGGACTCATCTAGTAGCCGGCGGACTAAGTCCAATTGATAGAGGGATAACATTTCCCTTGGGTTTACGGGCTTGCCTATTTTTAGGCTTCTTTTCATCCGACTTCGTGGAACTCGGAGCCCCTATCCTCTTCCTCTCTTTCTTCTGCTTAGGAGCAGATGGTTGGGGAAGGATCTCTTCATCACCAGATGAGGGCCTTATTTCCACATCCTTCCCAAGACCTGCAAAAGAAAGATAAGTAAGATCGAAGGGAAATTCGAACTATAGTCAAATTGTTAAGTCATAAGGAAATTTACCATGGTTTCGGGCCTCCCATCGACCCTTTGATAGATCGCGCCATGCACGCTCGGCATGCGTCTTCTACGACACCAGGACCCTGACCCATTCCTCGAGTCGGGGAACCGCACCCGACATCCACGCAATAGAATCGAAAAGCACTGATAAGAAAGGAGGAAAAACAAAGACAAAAACAAAAATTGAGGACGAAGTTACACTTACGCTTCATATTCCATTTCTCAGGAAATGGCATGCTCTCAGCCGGGATCAAGTCCGAGGTCTTCACTCGAACAAATCGGCCCATCCTTCCCCGTCTTTGTCCTCATCTATGCTCGAGAAAGGTGCCTTTGTGGCCCGACGTTGAAGCTTTATTCTTCCTCCTTGATATAGTCGAGGGCTATACAACCATATGAGCTGGTCGAGGGTAAAGGGACACCCGTCGATTTTGCTCACAAAGAAGCGAAGACATATCACTATCCTCCAGAAAGAGGGGTGAATCTGACCAAAGGTCACCTCGTACTTCTTACAGAAGTCTATAATAACCGGATCCAAAGGACCCAGCATGAAGGGGTAAGTGTAAATACTGAAGAACCCTTCCACGTGGGTGGTGATTGATTCTTCGGGAGCAGGCACCACCACATGCTTTTTGTCCCAGTTGCAGTCTTTCTTAACTTGGGAGAGGAGTTCATCGGTGATCGTGCATATATACCTCGACATTGGCTCGCATCGACCCGGAATCGAGGGGGTCTTTTCAACCTTGAAGTCGGAATCGATGACGCATCCTCCGGGGAAGAACTCTTCAGGGCGTGGCTCCGACGCTGGTTCCTCGCAAGCCGGTCGGGATGAGGAAGGAGTTTCCTTTTACGGAATAGTTTTTGAAGTCTTAGCCATTTTTACTTTTACGAATGAAGAAGAGTGGGAACTGAGAAGAAACACTTGGTATTTTGTGGTGAAATAGGCGAAGAAACACCAGAGATCTGAAAACACAAAGCTTTGAGTAAGGCAAAGGAATTTTGAATATTGGAGAAAGAAGGTTTGAAAGTAAAGTTGGGAAAAAGAAGAAATATACATTTATAGGGTGAAAACAACAGTTCAGAACCGATAGTGGCCGACAACAACTGAAATACATTTAATCCCTCGGTATTCAAACCGACGGGACGTTTTAGTATCCACTTGTTGCTTACGTCATGATGCTTACGTCATAATATATCGAGGTATAGATCGAGAGTTCAAATCGTTTCTTGTCATTACTCTCAAAAAAACGAGGGGACTATCTATATACGATCAAGATCGGGCCCTCTCTCTTTTATCGGATGTATCGAGACCGGGGTGTGGCAGGACGAGGTTTGACCCCACGTCATATCGGACTGTGACATGAAGTTAGGTTGCCAAGCTCGTGACTCAAGGACAGATCGAGATCGAGATCAGCCAAGATCGAGGTCGAGTGTGATGGAATTTAAGAAAGATCGAGGGAAGCTCATCGCGCCAAATAATGGATAGCCGAAATATCCGTAATCGGGCGAGGATCACGGCAGAAATCTCGGCACGTGTCAAGAAGAGGCCAATTAATTAGCTAATCATGGGATTTCTTACTGTATTTAGAATTGTATCAAAGGTAGGACTACCCTACTATATAAAGGGGGTCTGAT